TGTGTGTGTGTGTGTGTGTGTGTGTGTGTGTGTGTGTGTGTGTGTGTCTCAGAAGGAGGTGGGGGGGCAGGACTGCCCATGTGGCTGGCTGGTTGTAGTTTGTAATTTTTCTAACCGGCTGAGAAGTCTTGACTCCCTCATGGCCACCTTTTTTTTTTTTTTTTTTTTTTAAACTTTTTTCCCCCTTCCCCCCCCCCCCCCCTTCCTCCCCTAGGGGACTGGGAGTGAAGAATCAGAAAGCTACTCTTAATTCCCTGAAGAAGCCCCCGACCGTTCACTTTGGGTGGGGGTCTCTTAAGTGGAGGAGGGCTGGGACAGGCTAGGGTCCATCAGGGCTCTGGGTCCCCAGGATGGGGAGATCCTAGCGTCGGCGCGGCCCTGCGGTGCTGGGGCCATGGTCTGTAGCCCTCTCCTCTTCCGTGCAGACAGCCGTGAGTGGAGAGGGGGCTTCGGGGGGTCATGTGCAGAGCCTTTATGTAAGACTCCCAGACAGAGGGCACTGGTATTTATATAACCTGGCGCGGGTATTTATGTAATGTAGGATGCCGTATATTTATGTTCCCTTCCTAACCTGTGGCTTTCCCGGCTGCAGTCTATGGCCTCTGAGTTGGTGTTGGTGGAAACCCGGCTTGGGGGAGGGGGTTGTTTGTGAGTACACACGCCCAGCCTCCCCCTTCCTGTAGGGATCACCAGCGTGAGCGAGGCTCTGCCCCCGTCTTCCCTTGGCGAGTGCACTTAGCACGTTGGACCATGTGTGGGCCTGTGGTGACCGGCTGGTGGGTTTTCTGCAGATAGGCAATGCTGCTGTTGGCAACTAGGGCAACTCAGCTGGGCCAGGCCAGCCCTGTGGGCAAAGGCCCATGATGGAGAGCCCAGAGTTTGGCTGGCACCCAGTGGCAGTCTCTTCCTTGTGGCTGGCAGAAGGACTGTGGTGGCTCTCTGGGAGCTAGTACTAGGCTGGGGTGTCTCTCCTGGCTTGGATCTCGTGGCTCTTTGGCTGATAGAGGAGCCCTAGTAAACGTCTCCCAGCTTCCTTCCAAGGTCTGGCTTAGCACAGGGAAGGGGCCGTCTCAAGCCTGGAATGAAACATGTTCTGATGTTCTGGGCAGGAGGCCACCAGGCAGGCCAGCCTGACCCCTATTTGGTCCTAGGTTGAGATTATGCTGTTGACTTGCTGCCGGGTGGTATTGGGGGTGGCAGCAAGGCCACTGCAGGCCTTGATTCCCCTCTGCAAGCAAAAGGAGTCCTCTCTTGTTTGCTCATGCTAGCTCTTATGTAAACAGAGGTCTCAGAGACCCCTCTTCCTTCTTTCATAGTTTACTATTTCCTGCTTCCCCATCCCCCAGCAGCCCAGTCTTCTTTTTTGCTATCCTGGAACTCGGGTACCCAGACCTCTACCAGGCCAGTACAGAGGAACCACTGCCGTGATGGCCCAAGCCTTGTTATCCATGGGCTTGAAGCATCCAACCCGTCTCAGGCAGGAGGAGTCTATTCAGATCAGCCCCACAGGGACTGACGACTTAAAATTTTGCTGTGCCTGGAACCCCCTCCCCTCGGGGAAACCCTCCCTCCTACTCTTCAAGGAAGCATGCTTGAGAATCCACCCAAAGCGATGTATGTAGAAAGGACTAGGAATGGTTCTCTGCATCCTGAGTAGAGCCTGGAAGGCATTGTGAGGTACCTTGCCTTCCCTTTCTGAGTGGGGATCAGGCCCTCTCATGCGGGGCCTGCTGGAACTGGCCAGCCTAGCCCTATGCAGGCCTAGCAGCCCGGAGACAGGGATAGAGATGGGTACCCTGTGTCCTCAGGAGTCTTCTAGTGCTGAGGGGCTCTGTGGGGCTCTTCCCTTCCCTTTCCCTTCCCCTCCCTAGAGGTTGGAACTTGCTGGTGGAGGCTATCTGGGGCCCGGGACCTGCCTGGGTTATTTTGATTTTCTTCAGAGTGCATGCAGATAAAGCAACTTGGAGACATTGGTGGAGATTCACTGCTAAGCATAATAAGCAAGACTTGGGTCTTCTGGCTCCTCCCTGTTACCCCCTTTGTCCTTGACGTTCCTTTAGGGCCTTAGCCCATTGTAACCAGCCTCCCCCTGAGGGGGCTCCTGTTGGAGGGTCTGCTTGGCGTGCCCTTCCCGAGTCTTGGCTCAGACTCCACCTTTTCTGGACTAAGTGAAACCTGTTCTAAACCTGCCTCAGCTGTGCCCAGGTGTGTGGGCCTGAGAGCTACCTGACACCTGGCTGCCCTTAAGCCAAGTGAAGCCAGATTGCTTCCCAGACAGTGGGAGGGAAAATGCCAGCCTCCGGAGGAAGGGTCCGGGCCCTCTGGTGATTGAGGTCCCATCCCTGACCTGTTTCTGCTTCTCCCACAGCAAGGTTGAAGCATGGAGCTGCGTGTGGGAAATAAATACCGCTTGGGCCGAAAGATCGGCAGTGGGTCCTTTGGAGACATCTACTTGGGTAAGTAATTGGGCCTCCAGCTGCGGCCCTTGGGACAGCTTTGGGGATAGGGGGGAGGGAGCCTGGGACTTTGCTCTGGCCATGTAGCACAGCTTGCAGGCCTCCTGGGTCATCCGAGAGCCAGGAGGAGGCTCAGGTGGTCTGGGGATGCCTCTCACCGCTGGGCAGGCAGGGCTCAGTAGGCTGTGACAGCAGAGAGGAGATCTATTTAGCAAATTTCCAGCTGCAGCTGACCTGGGTCTCCATCGGGACGTGGGAAAGCTCTGGTGGGGTTGGCGTCCCCACTCCCTGGGTCCTGGCAGAAGGATCCCGATAGAGAGAAAAGGCTTCAGCCGTCCTGGCCCCCCGGGGAGGCTCCCAGGAAGTCCAGGCCTCTCCCTTAGCTGTGGCTTTCTGGAATGCAGCCTGGGCCTGCTTTGGAATGACACAGGGAGGGTCTCAGCCCTCTGGGAGCTCTCTGTCCCTGGGTGTGTTTCCTTTTGGACATCTGAGTTTGCCCTGATGTCATTTTGAGCAGATTTGTGACATCTCAGCCTCCAGCGGAGGAGAAATGAGCCCCCACCCCCCTTCAGCGTTGCTTTCCTAGCCCTGCCGTGTGCCTCTTTGAGTGTTGTTGGCCTGGAGCGGGGAGTTTGCTCGGTAACTGCCCAGATGGAATTGGGAGTCTCGCAGTTGATGGAGTGTGATGGCAGGCAAGCCTCCTAGGTCATCCTTGCTACCCCCGCCCCCCTCAGGAGTAGGACACAGCTGCTTCTTGTTTCCCTCTGTAGAGAATGAAAATGAATCGCTCTGTCCTGGGCAGAGAAAATGGACAAGTCAGGACACTGTAATTGTGAAGCAGTTTGTTCAAGGGTTTCTTTTCCCTAGTGCTCAGAGTTCCTGTCCGCTTCCAGGATGAGTTCTGCCATCAGCAAGCCTCAGAGGCCATGGCTTCCTAGCTGCTACCTTTCTGAACACTGTCACCCTTAAGGCAGCCCTGGAAAGTCTGACGGCCGGCCCAAGGCGCAGCATGGCTAAAGTGGCCACCAGCGATTGCTCCAGAAAACTAGCTAGGGTGGCCTTGATGCCACAGCTCCACTGAGGGTTAGGGTGGAAGGCAGAACGGGAGACAGACAGACCTGGATTCTAGGCCTTACCTTGTGCAGCTGCCCTAGGACCTCAGTGTCCCCCATCTGTGTCCCCAGGTGACCAGGCACTGTCGCAGGACACAAATGAATCAGCGGTGAAGTAGTTCTGTGCCCAGTCAACAGCTTGGTGTTCATGGAGTATGGCGGTGGTGTGTATGCCTGTAGACCCAGCTACTCTGTGAGCTGAGGCACAAAGATTGCTTGAGCCCAGGAGTTAATGGCCAAGCCATTGAGGGTCGTGAGGTAACTCTGCTCGAAGGATCAGTGTGATATGAGATCGAGGTGTTTTGGGGTCCTGTCGTTCCTTTCAGGGGGAGCTGGCGTAAGCTTGTGTCTGCCCCCTTGACCCCATCCCAGTGCTCAGGCCTGCCCATGGTGGATATCCAGTGAAGGCCTGAGAAGTGAAGAGTGAGGGGGTGGGGCGTAGCCCGTAAAAGGCTCAAAGAGAGAGAGTAGGGATTTGAGAATTGGGTGGTTCGGTTGCCGGTTCTCAGTGCTCTCCATTTGCTGTGCGCCCTGGGATGTCCCTTTCTCTGAGCCTGGCACAAGTATGAGGAACCTGTGCATGCATGCATGTGTGTGTGACACAGTATTGCATCTGCTATTAGGCAACACCGAGCGCTGGCCCCTCTTCTGCAGAAGGTGTGTAAAAGCTTATGGATAGAGAGGCACAGCCCGAGGTCACTAGGAAAGGCCAGGGTCCCTTGTTCCTGTGGCCTACCTCCCTGGTGGGGAGGGACAGGACTTCCTGTTTATCTGTGGTGTCTCCTCGATTATCTGCCAGGTCCAGACTTACTCCTGTTCGTGTCAGCTCTGGAGTAAACCGACCCTGGGTCTTTCCTTTTGCTAGCCGGAAGCCCTGGTTCCCTTCCCATCTGAGGTAGAGCTGTGAGAAGCAGGGCCGTGCTGCATGAACCCCTTGCCTGTGCAGGCCCGGCACCCACCTTCGGCTGTGTTATGGGCTGTTTCTTTCTGGGGATCTCAGTCCTCTGGGGGCCTAAGAGGAGGAGAGCTCTCCCTCTGTCTAGCTCTGGCTGGGTGTACCTGTGTTGGGGGGTGCATGGTGGGTACCGCGTGCCAGCACCATCCTAGACTCAGTGGTGAACAGTGGTGACGGGAAGGTCCTCTTTGACTGGCCTTGCAGGCACGCTTTGTTCAGAGTGCTGGCCACACTCTCTCCTCATGGTGTCGGGCCAGGGCCTCACTCCAGATGGCCTCTACAGGTGGGGCCAGCCTAGGCTTCCCCATCGAGCTTTCCAGGATTGACCTCGAGGAAGTCTTGGGATGAGAGCATTGTGGAGTGGTTGTGGGGCCCTCAGCCCTCCTTCGTGTCCCTCCGTATCCCCCTGTCTTTATGGTATAAGGTTGACTGTGCAACCCGGGGGAACTCTCTAGAGCTGTTGAAATGCAGGGAGGCTCTGGGCTTCAACCCTACCTACAGGGGGTAGGGAGCAGGCAGTTTGTTTGAGACAGGGTCTCACTGTGTGGCCCTAGCCGGCCTAGAACTTGATAGACCAGGATGGGCTTGAATTCGGAGATATGACTGCCTCTGCCTCCCTGTTCTGGGATTGAGGCTCTGTGTATATCACCACACACAGCTTTCAGCCTTTTGATATGGGAGTCAGAGTTGCTGCTGCTGTTAGGGTGGGTGGGCTGGGCACACCCCTGTCCCAGTCTCTGTTTGCATAGGCGGCCATAGTGAGCTAAAGGGGCTGCTCACTCCCTCCCTACCTATAGCTTCTTTCCAGGTTTCTAGTCCATCTGGAGCCGGCCAGGTTCACACCTTCTCTCTGTACAAGATTGTTTGGGGGACCCATCAGTTCCTCCATTTTGGTGCTGGGTGGCACTGTGGGCCAGGAAGCAGATCACTTCTTCTGGCTTCTGAGTCTGCATGTGTCGCCTCTCGGCGAGGCACCCATCCCTACCATCTGCTTCTGTGGTTGCCCTGCCCTCTGTCACCCCCACAGAAGGTGAGTGGAGCTTCAGGACAGGTCTGAACCGGGAGCTTGGGAACTGGCACTGAGGAAGAAGCAGAGGCGTTGGGAGACATTTGAAATCCTGGCTCTGCTCCAGCCAGTTCTGTCTGGCCTAGGCCAGTCACTTAGCCCCACTGAACCTTCTCTCGGTGGTTGGCAGGATTAAGGGAAGTCAGAGAAAAGACTGGCTGCCTCCCTGATGGGAGCCAGGCTGCCAAAGGCCTGGAAGTGGGAGAGGGAGCAGTCTGGGGGGGGGGGGGGGGGTCAGAAGACTTTGCCTCAGCACTTAGGTCCCAGATCCCTGGCCTGGGAAGTTGTGTGGCATACGGTCATTCAACCTTTGATGTGTTGGGTTTTCCGTGTGTCAGGCAGTGGCAGTGGCAGGGCGGAGTCAGAGTTCAAAGGGATGGAGGGCCCCTGTGTACCTGCTGAGTCACCAGTCCCGCTTACCTAGGCTTGGCCACCCTGCTGTGGCCTGCCAGACTGTCCTTCGTGTCCTGTGTCCTTCGTTCCTCAAGTCCCCTCCATCCCTTTCTTACACAGTGGTGATTCTTAGTGGGGGGTGACTCTTGTCTCTTGGAGGGCATTTGGCAAATTCTGAAGACATTTCTGATTATTACAACGCGGGGTGGGGCTGGGGTGACCGTGGCATCTGCTCTGTAGAAGCCAAGGACATTGCTAAACACCGATAGAAAGAGTTGCCCACCCCCAAGTATCAGGACAGTGAGATAGGGAACTCTGCCACTGCACGCTTGTGCTGGTTGGGACCCTCAGCTGGGTGACCAAGATCTTATCCCCTCAGGTCTCAGCCCTCACCCTTGCCTACCTCTGTCACTGTCCTCTGGTCCCACTGTACCCTTCCTGCCAGGCCTTTTCACATTCCATGTCCCCAGTGTGTCTGGCAAAGCCCTGTCCCTGTCCTAGGGGTCAATAAGCAGCCTCTTCTTTAAGGAAATGCTCCTTTCCTTCACCCAGAACTCTGTTCTCCCTCTTCCCTTGCTCCCATCTCTGGCTGGGGTGGGTTCTCTCATTGGCCCTCACTGTGGAGTGCTTGCTATGTCCTGGGACTCTGCCGAGCTCCTCTGTGTCACAGAAAGCCCAGCAAGCTAAGGTCAGCTAACAGTTCACAGGAGAGGCACCTGGGCTCAGAAGTAGATCGGAGCCATCTCTCCAGCCTCTGTCTCAAAAGATTCAGTGGAGAGTGCTTGAGGAAAACTGTCAACACCAACTCTGGATTCTGCATAGACATATATATAAGTGCATGCACACACACACACACTGTCAATGATGATGATGAGGTCCTGTGGTGGTGGTGGTGGTGATGATGATGATGATGATGATGATGATGATGATGATATTATCATCTGATGACAGAATCAGGACCTAGGATCCAGCAACTTGGCTGTATTGCAGACAGGCGTGTGGTATGTAGCCAGACTGGCTTCAAAGTCACCATCCTCCAGCCTCATCCTCCCAAGTGCTGGGAATATAAGTGTGCACTGTCCCACTCACTCACACCCACTATATTCTGCTTTTGGTGCCCGTGGCAAGACAGGGTACACCGTGGGGCTGTAGGTCCCTTTTTGTGCCATATCCTCATGACCCCCCAAAACTGTGGGCTCTATGGAAAGGTGACTGTTGATGTGTCAGGAGTACTTCACGGGGAGCTGGGAAGAAAAGGAAGTGCTTGCTCCTGGCGGCTTTGTGATCCCAGCCCTGGGGTGCAGAGGCAGAGAGAGAGGAGTCCTGGGCCTTGCTGGCCAGCCAGTCTTGCTTGGACAAGCTCGGAGTTCAGCGAGAGACCCTGTCTCCAAAGATTGGTTTATTTTTATTTTGTGTGTATGGGTGTGTCTGTGCACTGTGTGTGTGCAGTGCCTGTGGAGGCCAGAGAAGGCGCTAGATCGCCTGGAACTGAGTTAGGGGTGCCTGTGAGCTCCCCTGTGGGTGCTGGGAACCAAACCAGCGTCCCCTGGAAGAGCAGCAAGTGCTCTTAACAACTGAGTCACCTCTCCAGCCCCTGTCTTAAACAATAAGGTGGAGAGTGACTGAGGAAAACTTCCAACACCAACCTCTGGCATGTACCAACACGCACATACACACACACAAATAATAATAGTAATAATGTAATAATAATAACTTTAAATTTTTAAAAGTAGTTTGCAAACAAGTCTTCAGTTGCTCCCTGGATTTAGTCATCTAATCTGTTTTTCTTTTATGTAGCTCAGAAATCAAAGCACAGATGCAAAAAAGTTAGACTAATGTATTAAATGAAAGGACACAGACCACCACATAATGGGTGCTTTTGAAGTGTCCAGACTAGACAAGTCTGTAAACAGAAAGGAGTTGTGGTCACTAGGAGCTGGAGGAAGGAAGTGGGGCCACGCTTACTAAAGGCCATGGGCATTTGAGGCTGTGTTGGACACTTTCTCAGACTGACATGAGATGGGTCATACAGCCTCGTGGCCATCTAGACAATAGTTTCCCAGTGCCCGTGACCGTATCTCATAGCTCGCATATTACATTTCAATGAGAGCACTCCAGTAAAAGAACGACGCATGATGAGGTGCCCATGACGTGCCTCCCCAGCCCGCCATTCTTGCTTCTTTGTGTGACTGCGGCCCGCCACAGACGCTTCCCTCTCTGAGGGAGGACAGGATCCGTAGTCTGTGCTCTGCGTTTTCGCTTCCTGTGTCTCGAAGACCTTCCACTGCTACCCAGGGCGAGCTTCCTCCTCTCCCCACTGTGCTGTTACGGATCAGCTCTTTTTTATTTGGCCGGTCCTGAAAGACGGACATGTGGGTGGCTTTCAGGCTCTTACTTACTGCAAACAACGGACAGCCGTGGCTGGGCTCTTATACCATACAAGGGCGCTGGTGGACTAGGCTGGAGAGGTGGCTCTGTAGTTGTGTACGCGCTTGATTGGCCCTGGGGTAGTCGAGGCAGAGGTAGGTAAATCTCTGAGTACCGGGTCGTACAGGCTACATGGTGAGGCTCAGCCATCAAAAAGAAAAAGCGCTGGGCGGTGGTGCCTTTAATCCCAGCAGTTGAATGGCTGAGTTTGAGGCCTACAGAGCGAGTTCCAGAATAGCCAGGGCTACGCAGTGAAACCCTATCTGGAAAGAGAAAAACAGTAACAACAAAAGGAAAAAGGAAAAAGTACGAGTTCATTCTGCTCTTACACAGGACCTGAGTTTGGCTCTCAGCACCTATGGTAGGTGGCCTGTGACTCCAACTTCAGGGAAATCTAGTGCAGTGCTGTGGCCTCTGTGGACATCTGTATTCAGATCCATATGTCGCTTTCCCCCAAACACATATACATAATAAAAAAGGTTTTTTGTTTGTTTTGTTTTATTTTTGAGACAAGGTCTTTTTTCCCCTCATTCTTTTTTTATCTATGTATGTATGTATTTAATCTCTACAGTCTGATCCCAGCTACCCTCCCTCCTCTCCTCCCAGTCCCATCCTCACACTTCCTGTCCCTTCATTCCCACCTTTCCTTTTTCTCAGAGAAGGGGAGGCCCCCAGGGAGTACCAACCCACCCTGGCACCTCAAGTAGCAGCAGGACTGAATGCAAACCCCCCCCCCCCCCCCGTTGAGATCTGACAAGGCAGCTCAGCTAGGGGAAAGGGATCCAGAGGCAGGCAACAGCCCCTACCCCCACTGTTAGGGGACCCACATGTTGACCACGGTGCACATCTGCTACGTATGTGTAGGGGGGTCTAAGTGAGACAAGGTCTTTTTGTGTAGCCCTGGATGGCCTGACACTTGCTATGTAGATCAGGCTGGCGTCAGATTCACAAGAGATCGACCTAGCTCTGCCTCCAGAGCGCTGGGGTTGAAGGTGTGCATCACCACGCCTGGTCAAAGTTTTTGTTTTTGTTTTTTAAATTAAGAGAGGTTGGCTAACCTCCTAATGTAGATCTGCCGGTCACAGCTGGGCTGTGGAAAGCCACCCTCCAGCTGTGGAGAGAGGAGAGCCCAGTGGTCTCAGCCGGGCCTGCGAGAAGCCTCAGCAGCACGGTGGGGCTGTTGGCTGGGCTAGGTGAAGCCATCTTCGCAGGTCCTTTCCTTTGTGTGCAGAGGCTGCAGGCGCGCCTCTGTGGGCACTTGTCAGCTCACATCCTCCATCCTGTTTCCCGTTGGGTCTTTCCTGTCCATTAGCTGTTAGCCTGTGATAAGGACTGTGTGTTTTTCTTTCGGCCTTATGTCTGGTGCTTTGGCCAGTGTGAAGGGGTTCTGAATGTTTTTGAAGGAGAGGGAACCTTTAACGTCCCTCCTCCCCACTTTATCTTTACTTGTGTATGTGTATGCTTGAGTGTGTGGAGGTCAGAGGACAGTTTTTTGAAGTGGTTCTTTCCTTCTGTGTAGGTTCTGGGCATTGAACTCAGGTCATCAGGCTTGGCAGCAATCACCTTTACCTCCTGAGCCATCTTGCCATCTCCTCTAGGAACCTCCCTCCCCCAACACACACACCCCTTTCTCTCTTTGAGAAAATTTTAATAATAGGAGTGTGTGGTTTTTGTGTTTGTTGGTTTGTTTTTACATTGTAATTTCTTTTGTGTGTACGTGTGTGGGCACATGTGTGGAGGTCAGTGATCTGCATCTGAGGTAGGAGGATCACAAGTTTTGGGCCAGCCTGGGTTACAATAGTGAGACATCAGCAAGTGTGCAGTCGTGTGGCCCTTACTGCAGTGTTGAGCTAAGCCTCAAACTTGCATCCTTCTGAGGAGCATCGACCGCCCCTAACTCCCGTCCGCGGCAACTTCAAACCTGTTTCCAGCCTCTGGTTTGCCTTCTCTCCCTCACCTCCCCGACCCATGTCTTCTCATCCACACAGCCCCTGGTAACTACAGTTCTCTCAACTTCTACAAGAATCTACTTCTGACACAGCCTCTCCCTCCCATCCTCCCTCTCTTCCAAACAGGCTCACTCCATGGCTCAGGCTGGACTCATTTTGTAGTCCAAACTGAAACTCACATGTAAACCTGGCTGACCTTGAACTCAGGAAGTTCTCTTGCTTCACCTGGGATTACAGGTGTGAGCCCCCATGTCCAGGTTGTCTTGTGACTTCTTGAGCCACAGCCCCAGGCTGGAAACTGGGCCTTTAAGTGTATCATTTCCTGGGTAGAGCACCTTGCTCCCAGCTGTGAGAAGCCAGGAGGAGATGGGAAAAGCGGTGATTGCAGACAGGCCCTTCAGGCCTAGACTCAGAAGTGGGGAGAGCTTCTGAGTCTATCCCTGTGGCCTTGACCAAGCCTGTTTTCTCATCTGTATAATAGGGTCGAGAACCTGAAGGGAAGATGCTGGGTTCCAGTTCATGGTTGCCGTTGTTACAGAGTGAGGGATTGGTTGTTAGGCCGGTTCAGAGTTGTAGTCCCCACTGGGGTCCTGAACCCTCCTCTTCTCTGTGACCCCGAACACCCACTGACCTGCCAATCCCTAGGATTAAGTTCTGTCTGCAAGCCTTTTGTCTGTCATCAACTGTTCCCCAACCCCCACAGGCGTCAGTCTGTCTGGGTACACCTGATCTAGGGCAGTCATCTTCCCTTCCACAGACTTCCCATATGCTATCTAGAAAGCCTCTGGAGTGCCCAGTGGTACCCCCGCCCACACACCCCCTGCTTCTCTGACCAGCGACTCCTGGCTTCTTTTCGCCCGGCCTCGGTGACTGGACAGCCTCAGGCAGCCTCAGATGCTGAATGGGTAGGGACCATGTGGTCCCTGGAGATTGACCCTGCTCCTCTGCCTCCTCCAACTCTGGCAGGTGCCAACATTGCCTCTGGTGAGGAAGTAGCCATCAAGCTGGAATGTGTGAAGACTAAGCATCCTCAGCTCCACATCGAGAGCAAGTTCTACAAGATGATGCAAGGAGGAGGTAAGGCAGGGGCGGGGCTGGGAGGTGGAGGGAGGTGTGGAAGGAAAGGAGGGGCAGGGTGGGGGTGGTACAGCCTCCTGGTGGAGGAGAGCAGGGAAGAGACAATGCTGAGAGCATGGGTGGGGAGCGATCACCCCTGACCAGGCCTCTTGTCCACATTCCCAGTGGGGATCCCGTCCATCAAATGGTGCGGGGCTGAGGGTGACTACAATGTGATGGTCATGGAGCTGCTGGGGCCCAGTTTGGAGGACCTCTTCAACTTCTGTTCCCGAAAGTTCAGCCTCAAGACGGTGCTGTTGCTGGCCGACCAGATGGTGAGTCCCCGCCCTTCCGGCTGTCCAGGTGACTGTCCTGCTGTGTGAGCCAAGATTCTCTTGACAGTGTCCCTGAGCCCTGCATACCACCCGCAGAGGCTGGGCCTGTTCCAGGGACCAGGGGACACTGGCTACCCATTGCAGAAGAACCCAGAGGGTGCCCCTTTAATGGGGAGATCCCAGGCTCAATTCCAAACCTGCTGCATTAATCACTTTACTCTTTCTGGGATGAAACATGGGACCAAAGCAGCTTATGGAAGAAAGGATTGATTTTGGCTTAAGGTTCCAGAGAGGGAGCCCATTAATGGTGTGATGGCAGGAGCAGAGAGGTGATGTCATATCGCAAGCATGGAGCAGAGAGTAAAGTGGAAGTGGGGTGAGACATTAAATTCTCAAATTCCTCCATAGACTTTCTCCAGCATAACCTCACCCCATAACCTATCCAAACAGTGTGACCAAGCTTTTTGGAAGACATTGCCCATTTAAATCACCATGCCCACTGAGTGACCCTCCTGCTGGGCCTGTGGCTGCTGCCCTGCCAAGGTCTGCCTCAGTGCCTTACCTGAAGGGAATGACTAAGTCCCCTGATTTACATCCCGGGGATAGAGTGGGGAGCTGGGTAGTGCCTGGGCCAGAGCAGGTGTCAGGTCCTATGGCCCTTGATGGTGCACAGAGGAAAGCTCTCTCAGAAAGGTAAAACCAGGCCACTCGACCTCCAGGAGGAGTTCACACCCACCCTTTAATATGCCCACCCTTATCTTAGTCAGAGTTCCTGTTGCCATGGTGAAACACCGAGACACAAAGCAAGTTGGGGAGGAAAGTGTTAATTTGGTTTACTTATCCCTGAGTCAGAGTTCACTGGAGTCACAGTTCACTGAGGAAAGCCATGGCAAGAACTCAAAACCAGGCAGGGACCTGTAGGGCAGGAGCCAATGTAAAGACTATGGAGGGGTGCTGCTTGCCGGCCTGTTCCTCATGGCTTGCTCAGCCTGCCTTCTTACAGAAGCCAGGACCACCAGCCCAGGGCCGTCACCACCCACAATGGCCTGGGCCCTCCCCATCAATCACTAATGAAGAAAATGGCCTATAAGCCTGCCTACAGCCCCGTCTTCTGGAAGCATTTCTTTAGCTGAGTCTGTCCACTCAGATGACTTTAACTTGTGTCGGGCACAACCCTTCTCTGAGCACCCTATGTATGTTAGGGCCCTGCTTAAATTTGTGTTAAAATTGCTTCTTTGGAGTCAGGCATGGTGGTGCCCAGCCTTTAATACCAGCATTTGGGAGGCAGAGGCAAGGGGGTCTCTATGAGTTCGAGGCCAGCCTGGTCTACAAAGCGAGTCCAGGAGAGCCAGGCCCTGGCAGAAAAAAATTGCTTCTTTGTGTGTACCTGTGTGTATGTGTTCATGTGTATATGGGAGTGCTTCCATGTAGAGGGTGGGGCACAAAGTTCAAAACTGGTTGTCCTTTCTGGTCGATCTCACTTTTAAGATTTGTTTAAAAGATGGTCATGGTCGCACACACCTTTAATCCCAGCACCTGGGAGGCAGAGCCTAGTGGACCTCCGAGTTTGAGGTCACCCTTCCAGGGCAGCCAGGGCCACACACATAAATCCTGTCTTGAAAAGTAAAAAAAAAAAAAAAAGTTTAATTACATATATATGTAATTATGGGTGTGTGTATATGTATGTGCCGGTGCTTGCTGAGGTCAGAGGTGTCAGATCTGGGGCTAGAGTTAGAGGCAGGTGGGGGTGCTAGGACCTGAACTCAGGTCCTCTGGAAGAGTAATATGTGCTCTTAACTGCTGAGCCATCTCTCCAGGCCCCCTAAAACCTCTTTTTAAAGTTTGACTTGTTTCATTAAAATATATATTTATAAAGAATGAAAAAGATAAAACTGGAATCTGGGTGTGGTAGCTCACTCCTGTAATCCCAGCACTCAGGAGACTGAGGCAGGAGAATTACAGCAAGCGCAGGGCCAGCCTGGACTGCAGTTTAAGACCCTATTTAAAACAACTAAGAAAATCCAAATTCAGAACCAGGTCCTAGTAGCCCATGACAGTGATTCCAGTGTTCAGGAAGTTGAGGCTGGAGGCTTGCCAGGAGTTTGGAACCAGCCTGTGATACTTACTCAGACTCTGCCTCAAAGATAAAAACCAGAGCTGGGAATGTAGCTTAGTTATGGATGGGGCGTTCATGTGGTTCTCTGTAGGCCCTGCCTTCAGTCGGCAGTGCTATTAAAAAAATAAATTACACATACTTACACTTACACATACTCGTAAACCTGCACATACTTACGCCGAGTAACTACACAGGGCCGACAAGATGGCTGAGCGGCCAAGTTGCTTGTTTCCAAGCCTGATGGCCTGAGGTTGATCCCTGGAACCCACATGGTAGAAGGAGAGAGTTTATATGCAGAGTCTTCTCTTATTTCACACGCATGCCGTGGCACCCGTGGCCACAGGCAGACGTGAACAGAAATAAAAAAGAAATCTTGGGATTCTGCCGTGGAAGGGGCAGATCTTGCTGCAGGCTTTAGGTCTTGGTTGGCCCTACAGAGGAGGATGCTCAACTTCTCACGGGGTGAGACCCCAGGACCTCCCTTGAGGCTGTCCACGCTGAGACCTGAGGCCTGCGTCAGCGCAACCTGCCAGAAGATGTGTCAGCCGTGTGCCTTGTTAATTTGAGCTTTAAAAAAAATCCTGTGTCTCTAGTTCTGTGTTTCACTCTGTACTTCCCACTGGCCTTGAATGTGAGGATGTCACTAATTAATTTTTAAAAAAATCTCATAAAGGATAGTGTGCTGCGTGTCTGCCTGACTTTTGGTGGCGTCTGGAAGTGGAGTGATAGTGAGGAGTCCTGTCGTGTGCCCCATCTCTCTCACAATGCCCCGCATCCAGTTGATTCTGTCTCTGGCTGCCTGAGTCCTGGGAGGGTGCTAGGGCCGGGCTGCCTTGCTGCCTGCTTCTTGACCTCCACTCTTTGTCTTCTGTTGCTCATCATGTTCTGTGAACTCCTTCAAAGTCGTCATTGCTCGGGAGAGTCTGGCCACTTTTCGAAACCACCCCTCACGCTGAGGCTGGGTCTCTGTCCCTGGCCAGGGCAGGAGCCACGTGTATCTCTGTTGAGTGACCTGCTGTCTCCTCACCTCCCCCAGATCAGCCGCATTGAGTACATCCACTCCAAGAACTTCATCCACCGGGACGTGAAGCCTGACAACTTCCTCATGGGCCTGGGGAAGAAAGGCAACCTGGTCTACATCATTGACTTCGGCCTGGCCAAGAAGTACCGCGACGCCCGCACCCACCAGCATATCCCCTACCGGGAAAACAAGAACCTGACTGGCACTGCCCGATATGCCTCCATCAACACCCACCTGGGTATCGGTGAGTGAGCTGGGCCTGGGTAAGCCTGCTGTGTCTTACTGGCCAGCATGGGCCAGTGTCCCTACCTGGGTGGAGACCCCAGCGATTTTTCTGGAGAGGTTCACTGAGAAGATCCGAACTCTCCGTGGCCCAGGTCTGGACTTGTACCGTATGGACCCTTTCGTAAGCGGGGCTGTGTGTCTTGCCTAGGCAGTCCGCTTGAGTGGGTGGGTGGTGTTTCCTTCCCCCCCTTGTATACCTGGCAAGCCCAGAGGTTTGACATGGCTGTTTAAGGGCATGCAGCTTAACGAATCTCAGAGCCGGATTTGACTCCAGTCCCGTCTCACATTATCTCATGACCCCACCCCCACCCCAAGCACAGGAAAGGCCAGGCCAGCGGGCAGGTGGGTGGGCGCTGCCCACCCACAGTTGCTGAGTGAGGTAGCACCTGGGCTGGAAAAACTGGCTGGAACAGACACAAGAAAGCTCTGCCTCAGGCAATCCGGGGGAGGAGGAGGAGAACGGGCACCATTGAAAACAGGGTGTCCGGGAGCCAGCGGGCACTGAGGAGAGGGGTGCGTGGTGAGAAGTTAGACTGACTGGCCCCTTGACCTCCTGACCTGTGCAGAGCAAAGCCGTCGAGATGACCTGGAGAGCCTGGGCTATGTGCTCATGTACTTCAACCTGGGCTCCCTGCCCTGGCAGGGCCTCAAAGCGGCCACCAAGCGCCAGAAGTACGAGCGGATCAGCGAGAAGAAGATGTCAACGCCCATTGAGGTCCTCTGCAAAGGCTACCCCTGTGAGTAGCTGGTGGGGGTGGTATTTCCTGCTCAGGGTGAGACCGGGCCACCCACGGCTAGATGGGGCTACCTCCCCGCCCCCTGCCGCCGCTGCCCCCTTGACATCAGAATGTTTATGATAGACTCTCAGGAGCTGGGATGCCTGAACCCCTACACCCCACACCCAGTTCGTAGCCAGCAGGTGTCCCCAGCCCCATCTCCCGCCCTTTCCCGAAGGTCCACCCTCAACCTGGATGGTTTGAGGAAGTGGAAGCCGGCTTGGGCTTAGGCCATGGTGGGACTCTTGAACAGCCTTCGAGTGTATGTATGGCAGTTGTTGACCCCGGAGAGCTCGGACAGAAGGGTGGCGAGCTGTGCACCCAGCCCCGCAGCACCTCTGCTTGAGAGTGGCCCAGAGCTGCTCAGTTTTCCTCCTGCCCCTCTTAGATAGAAACCGTTTCAGGGACTGTGGGTACCTAGGAGAGTGGTGGCTGCTGGGGCTCCCAGGACGGTGAGCCTCACAGCAGCCTCTTCTGCCTTTGTGACACCAGCCGAGTTCTCAACATACCTCAACTTCTGCCGCTCCCTGCGGTTCGATGACAAGCCTGACTACTCCTACCTGCGCCAGCTCTTCCGCAATCTCTTTCACCGGCAGGGTTTCTCCTACGACTACGTCTTCGACTGGAACATGCTCAAATTCGTGAGTCACCGGCAGGCCAAGGCGGGCTTGGGGGACTGGACAGGGCAGGCCCTGACTCATAAGGCCAGAGTGACCTGGTGGGGGGCGGGGCTCCCACTAAATGGGAGATACGAGCTGGACGGTGTGAGTGACCTCACAGAGGTCCCAGAACCCCTTGTCTCCAGCCACCTTGGCATAGACAGGATGTGTTGCCATGGGGGGCAGGGCCCTGGGAAGGCACCACCGTCTGCCAGGTGGGGTAGGACCTGGCCTGGCCTCCAGTCCCTCTTGTGTCCCTGTGGCTCGTGGATGGCACTGGCTGGACCTCCTGCAGCCCTGATAGCTGTCAGCGCTCTCCTGCTGCTCTTATTCATATCTCAAGTGACAGCCCTTTCTGAGGCCTCCGTGGCCAGCCTGGACCCCATCAGAGTGGCTTCTTTGTTCCTGGTTATAGGACCCTGGGTCTTACTAGGCAGTTGTTCTGTCTCCCTCTTCTAAGGGTCCTGGGGGGAGGGGAGTAGGGAGAAGCATTCACCAACCATGCCTGAAGTGCTGGAGTCCGTGAAATTGTATGTCTTGTCTCACATCTCTTCTGGAAAAGGGGGCTTCCTCGAGCCAGGCTCAGCCCCGAGACAATGAAGCTCTCGCGTCACCCTGCCCCCGCCCTTGGCCTTGTGCTGGGCCCACGTACTCACCCACTTACTGGTAAGGATCTCCAAGGCCTGGCCCTTCCGAGATTTGTAACCTACCCGGCGAGCATGCAGGCTTAGCCTCAGCTGTGCTCTCTCTGTCCTTTTCAGGTGCCCGGCGCCCCTGGGCACCCAAGGACCCCCAGATAGGCCGGTGGAGGAGGTGGAGCAACTGCCCCCCCAAAGATACTGGCCTATGGTCTGGACTCCAGGGCCCCAGTTCTGACACCGCCAGGGTGTTTCAGTCCATCTCAGCCAAGTTTGAGGAAGCATCCTAACGGGATGGCGGGGTGACACTCTGTTCCAAAGAGGATGAATGGAAAGGGTGTGACAAAAAGGCCAAGCATGGGATTCTCAAGAATGAACCAGCTGCGTGAAGGCTAGGACAAGCCTGAAGAAGGGATAGTGTCACAGCCTAGGAGGGGTTCGGGGGGCCACATTACAGGACCCTGCTCCATCTAGACCCCATCATTGGCCTGTGTATTGATTCTGAGCTCATTAAATACTTCCCTTCCCTTGGTCCTCGTGTGCCTCTCTTTTCACAGAGTGGCCCTTGGCCCACTCCATCCGGCCTTGTCCTCTGGACATCACGATGGGCACAATCAATTTTAGGCTCCTTTTCTTTCTGGGCCCCAATCAGTGGCTGGGGACCTTGGGGACAAACATCTGCGGCTTTCATCTCTGGGGCTGGAGTGAAAAGTGGGCAGCGAGGCTCCCTTCAGGCTCGGAGCGTGTTGGCCAAGGGCCTGGTCCCAAGGCTAGCTCTCACCATCACAGGATGTTCAAGGCCTTTGTCACCAGACACGTGCTACAGAAAATTAGATGAGTCCCAGTTTGCAGATGGGCTTTGGCCCTCCCTCTCAGTGAAATTCGAAGAATGGATTTTGTGTTCTCTAGACGTGTGCAGCCCACTGGAGGAGCCTCCGGCCGGATAGTGATAACTTTTCATTTACTAAAATTATTGGAAGCAGACGCTGGCTCCACAGTCACCCACCAGATTGCACTCAGAAGCCACAAGTAGCTGCTACGTCCAGCATGGCAAATGTGCACATTTGTCATCCCTGGAGATTCTCTGGACAGCTGCTGTAGATGGCTTTTTCACAGTGCCCCTTGTGTGGCTGGCCAGCTGACAAAATTTCAGACTGGACCAGATGCACCCTCCCTGCCCCCTTGCTGGTACCATGATCTCTTCCCTGGAGCCTTCTCGGAGGTAGACTCCAGAGTTCAGAGCTGGACAGCCTTTGCCTCCGCCATGTGTGACCCATCACCACGAGGCCTGCTTCATTGCCAAGGACGTCTGCCGGACACACAGCAGAAACACAGCCATCACCCCAAGACCAGGCCTTCCCACCTGCCCTGCAATAAGCAAGCCATCACCGGCACCACGCATACAGGCCTCAGGCAACAGGCTGGAAGGATCCACTTGACCTTGGAACGACCTCCCGTGTTCCACTCCAGGGGACTGGAACCCCCAGCTGCTTGAATCCTGGGATGTCTGGCTGAGAACACAGCCACTGTTCTAGCCAGGAGGAGACAGAGGTCTCTACCTCAGAGCCAGAGGCGTGTGTGACGTTGACACTGACTTTTGTGTTTTCTTACGGGCAAATAAAGGCCATGAAAACTCTCTGCTGTGCTTTTCTTGACGCATCCATTGCATTGGGCTGATGCCTGTGGAGCCGGGCCTAGCCTGAACCTGCTTGAGCTGCTAAGACCCCAGCTGTCCACCTTGTTGGTGGTGGCAGGGCTCTGTACCCCGAAGTGATGGTCTTAGCCTCGAGAAGCCTCCATCCCTCTAACAAGAAACCGAAATCATTGCTGCGCCAGGAGGGACTGTGAGGGCCACAGGCCCTAGTTTCCCTCGGGTGGTTCAGTTTTAGCTGAACTGGATAGCAAATGAGTGGGTGGAAATCTGGCAGTCCCGAGCCCTGGTTTCGCAGTGGAAGATTGGGGTCCAAGGCGGGTTTCTGAACAGCGTCCTTTTGAGGGTCAGAATGGGACTCAGTGCTAGGACTGTGTTTATCCCCCAGATCTGTATGAGCTTTGTGACTCTGGGCAGGTCACAAGGCTCTGGCCAGGCCAAAATAAGGACAAAAGATGTAAGCATTTCCCCTTGAGAGGGTCCCAAGACAAGAGTGAAGAATGTTAGCAGGGGCGGTGAGGTGGGGGTGAGCCTGCCTGGCTTGGCTCCTCTCCCATAGGACTCAGGGATCATCCTCAATCAAGCCACTCGGTCTAGGGGTCCTTGAAGACAGCAGCCTCCATGTTTCCCAGAGCAGCAGGGCCTCTTAGCCAGTACCTGGAAAGACAGCAAAGACAGCATTTGCAGAACCCATACCCATGGCCCATGAGCAGGCTCCTCACTCAGCCTGTAGCTCTCTCCTCCACAGATGCGGCCCCCCTTCTGCCAGCCCCCTGCCCTTCCCTGTGGACGGCCCCAGGACCAGCTAGGTAACTCAGCCAGGCGCTGCTCCCACATTGTGTTTCTTTCTGGTCCTTTTTCCCTTCCTCTTGGACTTGGGATGGCAGCTTATAGGACAGGCCCCCTGGGGGCCAAGGCATCTTCTCTAGCTTTGCCTGAGGACCTCTTTCCTCCATGGATCCTCTAGTCTTCTTTCTTTATCTCCTGGGCTTCCAGGTGACAGCATTAATGGGGTCCCCTAGGTCTCTTGGCTGTCATGCCCATGGTAGGAGCGATGGCTGGGTCCGAGAGCCAGGGGAAGGTGGCCCTGTGATTGGGCACCGGGGGGCCTTGGCCCATGCTGGCTCTGCCTTCACTGGAGCTGTGACTCTGAACCTGCCTTTCTTCTATGGGTATGGCCTGTCTGTCATCTAGTTGGGCCTCTGAACACCCTTCCTGCTTGGTTGAGAACATAGAGGGGGGTGGGGGCTCAGGTTGGAGGGCCAAGAGGTACCCTTAGTCATCCTGAAGATGTCAGCCAGGACAGGCTGAGCGCTCTCTGCTTCTCCGCCATGGCAGCTTCCTCTTCTAGGTGTTGGGTGGCTTGGTCCCTGTGTGCTGTGGTCTAGGATAGGCTCCGGCCCTCTTGGGGTGTGGGAACGAGGTGAACCAGCTTCCTTGAGCTGACCACCCACCTCTTGCTCCTGTCCTGTCTCGCCAGGGTTCTGGGTCGTATCGTAGCATCCTCACAGGGCTGACTTTTGTCCCCTCTCGTGTTACTGTAGGGTGCAGCCCGGAATCCCGAGGACGTAGACCGGGAGCGACGAGAACACGAACGGGAAGAGAGGATGGGGCAATTGCGGGGGTCCGCGACCAGAGCCCTGCCCCCTGGCCCGCCTGCGGGGGCCACCGCCAACCGACTCCGAAGCGCAGCCGAGCCTGTGGCTTCCACCCCGGCCTCCCGCATCCAACAAGCTGGTCAGTAGGGGGACTTGAGCATTGGGCTGGGCCTAAGGAGGTTAGGGGGCCGCTTGTGCCCACACTGGGCTCCCTGCCCTCCCTCCAGGCAATACTTCTCCCAGAGCGATCTCACGGGCCGACCGGGAGAGGAAGGTGAGCATGAGACTCCACAGAGGTGCGCCTGCCAACGTCTCCTCCTCAGACCTCACTGGGCGGCAAGAGGTCTCCCGGATTGCAGCCTCACAGGTGAGCTGCCTTTCCAAGCCTCTCAGGGACATAGTGGAGGTTTTCCTGGTGGTAAGCAGTCATTGTCAGGACCCAGTCTGGGTTGGTGATGGGTGGTGGAGGTGGGCTCAGAAAAGTCCTTTGCATGAGAAAAGTCCTCATGCCTTGCCATGAGGAAGCTCTCAGCAGTTCCCATCAGTACTGATAACAGCAAGGGGGGGGAGGGGAAGAGGTCCTGTCTGGTAGACCCACTTAATGGCCACATTTGGACTCAGAATGTAGGGAAAGGGGCTTGGCACAGCCCTCGCTGTGGTGGCGCACACCTCTAATTCCAGCACTAGGGAGGCAGAGGCGGGTGGATCTCTGGGTTCGAGGCCAGCTTGGTCTACAGAGTGAAGTTCCAGGACAGTCAGGGCTACACAGAGAAACCCTATCAGGAGAAACAAAACAAAACAACAAGAGCAAAAAGGTAGCTTTGTCCCCTCCTGCCTGTGGGAGACAAACCTCTGTGGACCCAGACCGAGGATTAAATCATCATTGGCCTCCAAGAGTGCTCTAGCTATAAGGCCAGGGGCAGCCTCAGACCCCTGACATCACACAGCCTGCCCTCAGATTGAGGGGCCCGCTGTGACGGATGCAGCTCAAGGTGGGAGAGATTTGGGGAATGACCTAGGCCATCTTCGTAAGGACTTGTCTTGAAACCTCCCCCATCTCTCTGCCCGCCCCCTTGAAGACAAGCGTGCCATTTGACCATCTTGGGAAATGAGGAGAGCCACCACGGACCAGTGTTTTGCTTAGGTAAGTGTCTGCTGCTGGGCCCCCGGGTGGGAGGAAACCACATGGTACATGAAGTGGAGGAAGTGACAGGTGGCACTGTGGAGGTCCCCTTCCCCCATCCAGGTCTCTTCAAGGAAGCTTTAGATTTGAAAACCTGCCATCCAGGCTATGGCTTCCTACAGACACTGCCGAATCTGTGCATAGTAACACTTCCGGGAAACCCTATTTTAGCCCTGAGTTCTTCTGTCCTCTTGGCTCCCAGGAGAGACCAGGCTGTTGGCCACACATGGACTTCCGGGGTGTTAGCCTGCCTCTGCCATTTAGCTGTTATTAAAGCTAGTTTGTGCAAAGCCTAAAATGGGACAGAATGTAGACGGGCCTTGGTGTTTTTATGCCCAGGAAAGGCTCCCTGGCCAAGGCGAATTGGGACTGGACGGCTTGTGGGTACCTGAGGCTTGGTACTAAAATACACATACATCAGCCTGGTTTGGGGAAGGGGCCACAAGCGGGTCTGGTAGTATTAGCTAGAGAACCTGAGCTCCCTGGAGAATGGCTGTCAACAGGCAGTGGCTCACTCATTAAGGGGTGTGGCTTCACACCAGGGTTCCTTAAACAGATTGCACTCTGTGGAAACTCCCCCTAGTCCATTTCAGGCAGACAAGTGGCTGGGATGGCCGCTTGGCCCACCAGGGCAAAGGAGAAAAGTTCCCCCTCTTGGGATAGTGGAGCACTATGTGCTGGGCCTAAAACCAGACCCTGGGCTCCAAGAGGGACAAGAAGGGGATCTGGTGGCTGAGCAGACTGAGGCAGCCAGGCACTGACTGGACGTGTTTATTTCCCTTCTAGTGTCTTCACTGCATTTTCTTTTAAAAGAAAAAAAAATGAAATAAATTACAATAAAATAAAAATAAACAAAGGACAGAAAGAAAGAACCACTTAAATGAACAAAAAGGAAAAAAACGAAACAAAAAACAGAAAAAACCCACAACCCAGCACAAAGTCGACAATGAATTTTGTTTCTTTGATTTATTTTGCCAATGGCAAAAACACAAGATGTCCCAAGCACTGAGGATTCTTGCCCCCTCGCCTCGCTCATTGCTCCCAACCCGAAGGCTGCCAGCACTCCTCTGCCGACATCGGGTCACACTCCAATGGCCAGCTGTCCTCACCACCACCCGCCACGGGCCGGGCGTCGGAGGTGCCTGAAGAGCTCGGGTCGGGGAGTGCTTCGGCCAGTCAAAGACAAGTTCCGCGAGATTTCCTGAGCCTTGGATCCAAGGAGACACACAGAGCCGGCAGCCCCTCGGCAGTGACAGTGGCCAGTTTCGTATTGGGCTTTCCCAGCGTCCCTCTTGAGCATCCTGGTTCCCTGACCTGTCACCTCTCTGCAGAGACCTGGAGGGTGCAGTGAATGGCGGCCATGATGCCGTGTGTGTGTGTGTGTGTGTGTGTGTGTGTGTGTGTGTGTGTGTGTGTTTAGAGAGAGAGAGAGAGAAAGAGAGAGAGACCTGTATTTTCCAGAGCAGCAGGTGTCCTGCCAGCACCTGCCTGGCCAAGTTTCTGTTCTCATCCCCCTAAAGTCAAGGTGGGGGGGGACAATGACCTCCACATCCCTCAGGGCATAGAGTCCTTGCCACCACCTGTCCCCAGATGCCAGTGTGTGGCGCCCCCATCTTCCATTCCTGATCTTAGGCAAGTTCTTGGAGCCTGCTCCCAGACGGCGCGGGCTCTGGGTCGGTTCCCTGGTCCTACAGTCACCTGTGGTCACCCTTCTTCCCAGGCCTGACTTCTGAGGAGGACCCTGGGTCAGGGCTAAGTGTTGAATTTTTCCTTCCTGGTTAATACCTGTTTTGTTTTTTGTTTTTTTTTTTGTTTTGTTTTGCTTTGTTTTGTTTTTTTGTTTTAATTTTATTTTTGTTTATTTTCTTGGTGTGTGTATTTCCTAATTTATTTACCTCTTTTTCCTCTTCTTTTTTTTTTTTTTTTAATTAAAGAGCAAAACTTTTTATTACTTTGTAATTTAAAAAACTGAAAAAAAAATTACTGAAGAACTTTGGGGGGAATTTTGTACTTTTTTCCTGTGTAAATATTGGACTTTTTTGAGCTTTATTGTGGTTGTTAATTTGAAGTAATAAAGTAGAAAAGGACAAAGTGACGTAGGTCACCCTTTGTCCACCTCTTTGCTCTTGGGGTTTCCCCTCAGCTGACTTAGCAGGGACAGCACATCAGAAAGGAGGCAGCTGTGGCTGACCATTGTGACCTGTTGTCACGTGGTATGTCCAGGGGCCTTTGAGAACTCAAGGGACACAGTACAGCCTCTGACCTCTGACCTCTGACTGCTGGCTGAGGAGTGCACTCAAGATGGTGCGGGGTCTGTACCATGAAAGGCAAGGCTCTGAGGTGTGCCCCCCTCCTCCCCAGTATTTCATGTTATCTACAGGGGAGTTCTGTGGGTTTGGGACACTTGTTTCTCAACCAGAAACCAGCCTGTAGTCATGGCCTTGGTGACAGAGCCCAGGCCTCTTGGTGACCTCTCCACTGACTGTGGAGTTCTGGGAGGGGTGATCCCCACTGGCCCTGGTGAGGTCCTGATGCGTGTTGTCTTTGTCTCACTGCATGTAAACCGTGTCTTCGTAACTCAGGGGCCATTTTGCTATAGGTTTTATCCTAGGTGTGCCCAGGGAGGGGTGGGCACCCTAGGAGGTCTTTCAAAGCCCTTCCCCCTCCCCCCCAGGATCTCCTGTTAGTCCCTCTTGTGTGTCTGGGACAGGGATGGTTACCCACCCAAAGCTGGGGAATTGCAGGTTGAATGACGGGGGAGCTGGTAGGCAGCTGTTTGCCCTGAGAAGTGCCATTTCATTCATGCGCCCTTGCTGGCCGGGGTGCGGGGGAGATGCGGCTCTGCCCTTCCCTGCCCAGGAGGTCCAGAGCCACAGCGTGGCCCTGAGAAAATGGAAATGGAAAGCTTACCTGCTTCCTTCATAGTTTTCTCATATTGTACAGTGGGAACTGTAGGGTGCTTTTTGTTTTGGAGAAGAGGTGGTGGTTTGAGACTGGGTCTCTTGTAGCCCTGGCTGCGCACTGACTTCACCGTGAGGCTGAGAATGGCCTTGACCTCCACCCTCCTGTTTGTTTTTTGTTTTGTTTTGTTTTGTTTTTTTGAGACAAGGTTTCTCTGTGTAATAGCCCTGGCTGTCCTGGACTTTGTAGACCAGGCTGTCCTCAAACTCATGAACTCACGAAGATCCGCCTGCCTCTGCCTCCAGAGGGCTGGGATTAAAGGCGTGCACCACCATGCCCGGCTTGAGTTGTGGTTCTTAATGGCTCTAACGTTTCTATTTTTGCTATATTCTTGAGTACGTTTAAGATTCAAAACAGGGCTGGGGGGGGGGGGTGCTGAGACTAAAGGTAGCCAGGCTGACAACCTGAGTTCAGTTCCCAGGATACCCATTTGGTGGAGGGAGAGAACCTACTCCTGAGAATTGTCTGTGCCATGACCTGTTCTCTCTCTCTGACTTTACAAAATATAATTAGAAACTTGAAGATCCAAAACACTTCTAATATTAATATTGCCATAAAAAATAAACCCCTAGCCAAACATGGCGGTGGATGCCTTCACTCTCAGCACTGGGGAGGCAGAGGCAGGCCTGGTCTACATAGTTCCATAGTGAGTTTCATAGTGAGACCTTGAGGATAAACAAATAAATTTTAAAATACATATACGGAGTAAGTAATTTAAAAATCGTCTTTCCTTGTCCTTAGGGTGTATCTTGATGTGAGAGTAGGGAGCGCAAAAGCGACTTGAAGTCATCCATGGAGTGGCTGTCTCATCAGTTTCAGTGAGTTAGTGTTCCATCTCCCAGTTTGGCTTCATTTATCTGGAGGTGAGCTGTTCATACTTAGAGAGTCATTATTAACCGGAATCAAAGCAAATTGGGTTGTGGTAACCAGTACATTGTGGTATGAGCCTGGGGTGCAGATGAGACCCTGTCCCCGCAAAACAAAAGCTAACACCCAAAGCAGTTGCAGTCAGAACCAGCCCTGATCCTCCCTTCACCCTGTTGCCTACTCTTCCGTGGACGTATGAGGGAAGGACAGTGGTTGGCATAAGGGAAGTGAAGCCAGAGGACACATCAACCATGGTTAATTATTCAGGCCAAATAAACAGACACCAGGAAGTTTTACTCAGACCGAGGGCAGCCATGCCACCCGGTGAGTCACTGTCACTCACGCAGCAAACATCTTCATGGGGCTCAGAGGTATTTGCCATGTGCAGGCCAGAGGAGGAGCAGGGGATGGATTCCAGAGAAGTAGGTGTCCTTTCTGTGACCCCGGACGCCATCTGAGTTTCCTCTTGTGGGAGGTGAGGTTGGTGATGCCAGCTTCCAAGAACTGTCAGGAATAAATAAGAGTGTAACCGGACACGGGGCACCACAGCCGAGCATGGCTAGTGTCTCATAATCCCTGATCTGTGGGTACAGATGCCAAAGCAATAAAAGGGGACCCTGCTCCACAGCCTGGTCTCTGAACCTTCGCTCTAGCCAGGCGCCTGCACATGGTTGTCAAGGGAAAGACTCCGGTGAGGAAGGTGGCTCATCCCTTGCTAGAATGCACTGTGAGCTGGTCGGGGCTTGTGTGTCAGTGATAGATAGAGCTCCTGCCCAGCCTATGTGAGGCCCAGGGTTCCACCAACAGCATGAGGATCGTGTGGGTGGTGGCCCCTGTCAAGCAGGGCCAAGGGAAGAAGGGATGGTGTATGAGGAGACGATGCTTGGCCTGAGCCTTGAAACGGGAGAAGTTTGGTGGAGCTGAGTGAGGGAGCATTGTTCTCAGCCTGGGAAACAACATGGGGAGAAGATCTCATTTGACATTTTTGGGGGGTTGGGGGAAGGGCAGTGGGAGGTGTTAAGCAATCCATGGCAACCGAGGAGGCTGAGGTCACATTATGTAAATGTGGACCTGAATGAATCCAGAAGGCTCTGTCTGCTTCCTATCTGCAAGTAAATCATCTTTAAAAACAAGAGAGACAAAAACAAGTGAGTGTGTGTATACACTCACACACAGACATGCAAACGGCATGTCTTGTGGAGGCCAGGGATTGATGATGGGTGGCTTCCTCTAGTGCTCTCCATGTTATTTTCTGAGAGAGTGTGTCACTCAACTCTGATCTCTCTGAATGGCTACATTGACACCAGCCTGCCTCCACTTACCCAGCATTGGTGTTGATAGGTGTGTGCTGGGCGTGGAACTCAGGTATTCATGTTCGGACAACAGAAACTTGGCAGTGGTCTCCTCCAAACCTTTCTCTCTTTAATTTTTTTTTTTTTTCAAATTTTTGTCTTTGTTGGTGTGTGTGCACGTGTTCCTGAAGGTGCCTGTGGAGGCCAGAAAGGTCATGTTGGCTCCCTTACAGCCACTTGATGTGGGTTCTGGGAACCAAACTCCAGCTTCCTGTGGGAGCAGCCAGTGCTCCTGACCGCTGAGCTCTCTCTGCAGTGAGCAGTGTAGCCCAGGCTAGCCTTATATACAGCGAGCCCTGAGGCTGGAGGAATGGCTTGGTGGTTAAGAGCACTGGCTGCTCTTCCAGACGACTGGGGTTCAATTCCCAGCACCCACGTGGCCACCCACAACTGTCTGTAACTCCACTTCCAGGGTCTCTGACAAAACACCAATGCACATAAAATAAAAATAAATAATATATATATTTAAATGTACAGCAATCCTATCTTAGCTAAGATCACAGGCACTAGCAGATACCCTCAGTCAGCTCATCTCCCAGAGCCCTGGGTTCCTCATCTGTAAGAGGAACATTCATGCCCCTCGGGTGCTGCTTGGCCACCTCAGTGCCCACTCCCCTGACTTTGCATCAGCTCCTCTGTGAGTTGGAGCAGACATGATGGATGTTCACTTGAGCACAGTGGTAGGCGGGGGGTGGGGGTGGGCTAGAGGAAGGAAGAAGGGCTAGGGAGTTAAGGTCGCCATACAGGCGGGAGGCAAGGCTGCTTGCACTGCCAGCAGACTGGGAGAGGGAGATCTTTGGGGTTTATTTCTGGAGGACGTGAGAGCAGGAAAGGTAGGAGGTGGGCCAGGGAGGGGCTCTACTGGAGTGACAGCATGTTGGAGGGGGCTGGAACACGGGTGATGGTCAGCGGGTTCAAATAAAGTTGAGGCTGGCGGAAAAGAAAAAAAAAATGCTGAGCATTCTCCCTTTAGCTCCTTGAAATTTTTATTTATTTATTTGAGTGTATGTGTCCATGTGAGTGTATATCAAATGTGTGGGCGGGTACCCAGAAGCTGGAGAGGACACTGTGAACAAAGCTCAGGGCGTCCAGAAGAGTAGGTTGCACCCTTCACCGCTGAGCCATCTCTCCAGGCCAGGACTCCTTTATTCTCTTGAGACAGGATACACAGCCAGGTGCCCGTTCACTGAAGGCTGGTAGGATTGGACGGTGTTCAATTGGACGGTGTTTTGTTGATGTTACAGACCCATCCTGGGGCTGTTAGTGAAGAATGCTGTCCCTTTAAGGAAGCTCCCCTGGAGACCCCCACCAAGGCGCTAGTAGGTGGCAGCCTGGCTCCTCCCCGCCCTTTGGAGGGTGCTTCCCAGGTAATTATACCACCCTGGGGCCTTTCAGTTCTGCACCTACAAAGCACCTGTGATTCTAGTGAGCCCCGCCCGTGCCTTTGAAGTGAAACCATCCAGGTTTTACCCTGGGCAGGCTGAGACTTGGGACACCCAGGTCTCCAGGACTCTGCCCTCAGCTCCCTACACATCCCTGACCCGCAGGGGAACCTCTCTTGTATTAGTTGCTTTTCTTCCTGTTGTAACAAAATACCAGACAGAGAAAGCTTAAGGAAAGATTTCTCTGGGCTCATACAGTGGGGTTATAGGCTGTCGTGATGGGAGCATCATGGCATCAGGTGCATGGAGAGGCTGGTCACGTGGTGTCCACACTCAGGAAGCTGAGAGATAAATGCTGGTGCTCTGGCAGGTTGTCTCTCTCTGCCCAGCTTATAGGCCGATGCTGCCCTCTTCAGTTAAACCTTCCTAGAGCCACACCCGGAGGTGTCTGGAGTCACGCCCAGAGGTTCTAAATCCCTTCAAGTTGACAAGGATTAGCCATCAGCTTCCTTTCTGGAGGGCCATGTTTCCGGCTCTCAGCCCCTAAAGGCTCAGCCCCTGGATCTGCCTCCATTAGCTTGTCTGTCAGTGCAAGGGCTTCACCTCTCCAGCACCATGTGGACAGGTATGGGTGCAACCTGGAAACACAGAGTTCATCAGTCTTTGTTCTGCTTCCTGGTGATCGTCTGTGTCCTAAATGTCACCACCTCAACAAGAAGGGTTGCCTGAGTTCTCTCGTTGACCCGTCCCCAGGTTGGATGATGGGAAGGTGTCCCAGATTCATCTCACAATTAGCCATTACACTTGCTGTGTGCAGGGTCACTCATTCAGGGTGACATTTGCAGAGTAACATTGCGTCCTTATGCCTCGGTTTCCAAACGGCACTCACTGTTGCTTGTTAAATGAACAAAGCTCTGCAAACCTGTAACTCTGGTGCCAGGGGATCTGAAGCCCTCTTCTGAGTTTGGGTCCCAGTACTCACAAAGGGTGGGAGGCTCACAACTGCCTATAACTATGCAACTCCAGAGGATCTGACCCCTGTGGCCTCTGCAGTCAACTGCACACAACCACACAGAGACACATGTACACACATACACATAATTAATGAAATAAGAATTCTTTCTCTTTGTTTGAGAGTGTCTCACTCTGTAGCCCTGGCTGGCCTGAACCTTGCTATATAAATCAGCTGAACTCACAAGAATCCACCTGCCTCTGCCTCTGGAGTTCTGAGATTTTAAAGAGTGCCCATAAAATAGCTTAAAATCGCCAGCTGGGTGCACACCTCTAATCCCGGCACTGGGGGAGGCAGAGGCAGGTGGATCTCTTGAGTTCAAGGCCAGCCTGGTCTACAGAGTGGGTTCCAGGATAGCCAAGGTTACACAGAGAAACTGTCTTGGAAGAAAACTTGCCTACATATTTTAAATTGTACACAGTTTGCACAGATGAGATACCCAGTGTGTGTGTTGTGAATAACATTTTTTCTTTGGTTAAGGAAGATTTATTTAGCTGGGTGTGGTGGTGCATGCCTGTAAACCCAAGCACTCAGGGAGCCAGAGGCAGGTGGATCGCTGCGAGTTCAAGGCCAGCAAAGTGAGTCCAGGATAGCCAAAGCTACATAGAGAAATGCTGTCTTGAAAAACCAAAAACCAAACCAAACAAACAAAAAAAGAAGA